TCTGATCCTCTTGATTAACCTGAAGACAGGAGCAACACAATGAAGGGTGTGAGTCATGAGACAAAGAGGCACAAAAAGTATGGGAGGTGGGACAATGTGGTACAGGAAGCAGGAGACTCTGACCCCCCTGTCCCCCTCTATAGTGTGCTAAACAACAGAAACAAATACGGTGAGCTGGAATACACAATGTCAATGTAAAATTTGATTATAAATGTTTTGGGGGGTTAAACATAAATGAAATGAAAAAGATAGTCACACTAGTACAACTGAACTTGGTTGAAATCTTCTTTCAAATGACCAGCATTAATTAGATTATGTGGCACAGTTCATAGACATGATGAAGTAAAAAAAGCAAGGTAAAGAGAGTTTATTGTGAGATTGAGTATATCTTTGTGCTCTACATAGCAATGGAATTGAATTTTGTGGTTTTAGCTTGAGAGTATATTTCCCCACACTTTTGGACAATACATTTGTTTAAATACAATAGTTGTTAGAATTAAGTTATTAATGGTCCACACTTCAAATCTGTGGAAACAAGCCAGGTAAATTATGGCTGACATAGAAAAAATGTGCACCAATATACTCATAAACTTTCCAGTGTAAGTATTGAGGAGCAATCAACTTGTTATTTTTAAGTGCTGTTTTTATGATGATTTGGGTAAACTGGCAAGTTTTGGAAGTTTGAAATTTAAAGTGTAACTAAAATCTTAAAAAAGCTTGAAATTTACTTTGTACTCTGTTATTCCTTCAGATGTTTGAAGATTTGGGTATTGATGTGATAAGGCAGCGTTTGAGGGTTACAATGCCTGTATTTTTGCTCATGGTCAGATGGGGGCCAGTAAATCCTACAGTATGATGTGACAGGAGGTAACAGAACACAATGAACTATTTTTTTACATCAAAGACCTCTGGGACTATCATTAATTTTGGTGTCCATAATAGCAATCTTTCATCACGCATTCTGATTCCACAGGCACCCTTTGATTATTGTTTGTTTGTTTATACTACTAGGGTGTAGGGTTTTATATGATATAGCAGTTCCTTGAACGAAATTCTTGTACGAAGTAAGTAGCCTTTCCATCCAAATATAGGGAAAGAAAATTTGATCAAAGCAGCTGGCTTGAAAAAAAAAATGTTGCTCACACTTTTACAATGCTCCTCGTTATGTTAACACCTTCACATTTCAAAGATCCTTAAATTCAGTCTTCAAGTTGATCATAGCACTAATCTGAAACATTTGAAGTCCATTTCGATTTAGTTAATGTCGAAACAGCTGTATAAGCTAATGATATGATAAACTTTGCTGACAATGTGATTACTTCTCAAGTGCCAAATGCAGATTATGGTATAAGTAGCTTATTTTTCCTGAATATTTTTAGTTAGTGACATAGTGGTGATATGAATATACTTATAAGTCTCTGCAGACAAAGTGTCTGCATTCAATTTTTGGTGGGAGACATTTTTATGTCTCAATTTATTTTGTTATATACATTTTTCCCCTTTTTTTTTTATAATGCTGTAAATGAAAATTTTTTTAAGTCATGGGTACATGTTTCTGTGGGAATTTCCATATTAACAGTTTGCTTTGTCACTCACAAACTCTTCATGATTCTTGCTGCTCCTCGTTATGTTTAGTGCATGGACAATTAAAAGAGCCTTTAAATTTGGTCTATAAGTTGATCATTATAGCACTAATCTGAAACAATTGAAGTCCATTTCAATTTAGTAAAT